CGGGGCCCAGCCACAGCCTACCGCCACACCGCCACAGCCCGTCCGTCTCCGCTCCCCTCACACACACCCTTCCTTCTCCGCTGCCCTCACTGCCCCACCCCGCTCCCCCGCTGCCCCCGCCCCGCGCCCTCACTGCCTCGTCCTGACCGCGAGCCAGGTTGCGCTCGGCCTCGACCCGAACCTCTTCTCGCACCCGCACGCCTTCGACCCGGAACGCTACGCGCGCGGAGAGCACGGCCCGCACGGCGCCGCGCTCGCAACCTTCGGCGCCGGGCCGCGCATCTGTGTCGGGCTGCGCCTCGCCGAGACCGAGCTCTGCGCGCTGCTCGCGCTGCTGCTGCGCCGCTTCGAGATCGAGCCTGCGGGGCCGGCGCCTCGAGAGTGGTGCGCCGTCACAAACTCCCCAAGGCAGAGCGGGCTGTCCCTGCGGCTCGTGCCCCGGGAATGGGGAAAGGGATAGTCGCGGCTTGGTCAACCTCAACGAGACGAGGTGACGACTCTTGCGTGGTAAGGTCCTTATATAGTAAGTGCGGCCGGTGTGTAATCTTGTGTGGAGCGCTCATGTGTCGTCCATGAGCTGTGTATGCTGTATTACTCCCTGTATCCGGGTGTGGCCTGTGTGGAGGCGTGTGTGCCCCGGGTGTCTCCACTCCCGGTGTATCTTTCGCAGAGCGCGACCCACACAAAGCACCAAAGTTAGGCATACCCCCCGGCGCAGTGTCCCCCGCTATGTGTCGCCGTTTGTCGGGGCACGCTATCCTGTGCAGTCAGGGCAAGTGGGGGCGGGGTGGAGTGCCCAGGGACAAGTCCAGGGACCTCTCTGCCCACAGTCCAGGGGTGCGTCGAACCTTCCATCACCCTGGGAACGTCCGGGTGTTGGAAGTAAAGATATATTACTTTTTTCTTTCGCAGAGCGCGGGTCCGGAAACTCGCCGCACGCCGGAGAATCAAAATACAAGAAGCCGAGACAGAAAGTCGGCCCCCTCGCTCGCTCGCACGGACGCTGCCGACGATGACACTCGCGCCACTCACGCTGCAGGCCGTGCTCCCCCCCGCCTCCCCCGCCCCCCCCTCGCCCGCCACCCCCCACCCTCCACTCCCTGCGCTGCTCCGCGACTACAAGAGGACGGGCGCGTACTTCTCCTTCTTGGACTTGGCCTCCCGCACGGCGTCTGCGCGGTCGAAGGCGGCGGAGAAGGGGGTGCCCGGGTCGGTCTCAAAGTCGAGCGTCAGCTTCTCTAGATCCGCCGCCTCCATCTTGAAGGCCGCGTCGTCGTCGTAGCCGCCGCCGCGCGGCCGGCGCGGCCGCCGCCCTGCCGCCTTCTCCGCCTTCTCCTCCGCAGTCAGCTCGACGTACGGCTTCATCGAGAGGCCGATGCGGCGCTTGTCGTCGAAGGAGACGACGCGGACCTGCACCTCCTGCCCCTCGGACAGCTCCGCCGCCACCGACTCGACGCCCCCCTCCTTGATCTCGGAGATGTGCAGCAGC